AGGATGATAAACAAATAAAAAAAACTATTTGTAAATAATAAAAAAATTGCAAATTATGATTTGATTATTGTTTGAAGCATAGTTCTATGTTTTAGGAAGGAAAAAAAAACATTAAATGCATCTGCCGACATTTTACATCCCATATCACATCAACATGATATATGACAACCCACAGATCATCGATCGTCTTAACTCGGCCTCCTTCCTCTCTCTATCTTTTGCTCTGTGCTGAATGCATTATTATTAGCATGGTCTGCAGTATCGAACTATACCACTCGGTACGAGCGATACGTATCAGTCCAACAGATTATCGGTACGCGGACCGTCTGTTACCGGTCTGAGTGACTGTAGCACTATAGCAGAGCTATAGTATTCGGCACACCTGAGTATACCGCTCGGTACATCTGGGTGTATCGCTCGGTATACCGTACTATATCGGTATCGAGCCCAGATCAAAACACCGATATGGTACGGTATTACGAACCTTGATTATTAGTGTTTACCGGTAAACCATCGATACAAGTAGAAGCAGATCGTTGGTGTTTACGGGTAAACCATCGATGCATCGCTGCATGACTTCACCGACGCCAAGCAAGGCATGGGTGGCATCCATACATACCGTCATGTCGTTTGAGTCGGATAGCCAACACACGACGGTGGTCGCGACACGTCGGTAGCGTGCACAGCAATCCAACCACCGGTGGAGTTTGGTGTGGCTGTCGGAGTCGCACAGGAATGGCGTCCCTCACGTGTTCCATGTTTAACGTTCTCATGAATCAGTCTTTAATGATTTTTGTTTTTGTTTTTTTGATTTCGAAATCAAAAACTCATTTTTTTATTGATAAAAATAAAAATTAAATCAGTATACTTCGAATTTGATCTAATTCGATTCTAAAGTTAATGTCATTTAATGTAATAAAAACATTTAATGTGATAAGGATATCTTTCGGTCTTCTCATAGTTGTCATTTGATTTGATGAAACGGGAGTAGCTTTCAATTTTCTCTTTTGCTGGACTGCCATTTTCACCTCTCGCTAGCGTGTGGCTGTCTTCCACCAGTAGGTCGTGGGGACGTATGTGCTTCGATTGACGACGACTACTTCATCTTTTTCGATCGACAACTACAGTGGTGGGTGGAGGGTCTTTTATTTGGTGCTACTATTTCATCTTCTTCGATCGACTCACACTTATCAAATGATAAGTGTGTCCAAACAAATCCCATACGTGTTGTCAAAAAAAGAAAAAATGCATCCTTATGTATTTATATAATTGAGAATTCGAGTCGCATTGTTCTATATGATAATGATCTCTACGAACCTTGATAAAGAGTTTGTCAACATGTCAAATAAGCATAAGATTACATTTTGATTTCTTTTACGATTTTATTTCTTTTTATGTCAACGATCATATGCTTTGTCGAATTAGGGCAATTTATCGGAGATGTGTTTTGGAGATTGAATGCATATTGATGTTTTATAATTTTTTTGAAATTACGTTTGGATTGAATATTATATTATAAATACTCAATTGCTAATGTTATTTTAGGATCGTATTGTTTAAGTATTTGTGAGATGTTAATAGTTTTTTAAAAATTTCTCAAAGTTTTATCTTATAATATTGTTTAAAAAATAACCAAATATATAATAAAAACTCTATTCCTAATTTTTCTCTTCCATTCTCTTATATGATTTAATTTATTCATGAAATTTTATTTATTATTCTCGAATATCATTTTGCATTAGTTTATATGATTATATTATTTATTTATTATATATCTAGACCATACATAACTTTTTTTATAATAATATTGCATGCATTCAATTATTTTATTTTATTTATTTACTTACTAAATAAAAATATATATTCTTTTTTTTAATAAATATTTAAAATATAAATGATACAATTTATCACATAATGTCAAATGAAGTTTTGAAATATAATTTTTTCAAGAAACGTTGATGCTAATACACATTTAAGATTCAATTTTCATCTGTTATTTAAATTTTTTATAACTATATGTTCATTCAAACCTCTTTCTCTAAGTATATATTAAAAATATAAATATGTTCTATAATGGTTTTTTTTTTTTAAATGCTAAGAGAATAGTGGTATGCTACTTATGATTGAAAAATTCGAATGACCTATAATGAGTTTGCCCGAAAAAACCTATGCTTTTGAATCGTAATATCATTCAATCCCATATATGTTAGCCTCGACGAAAACCCCGATTTGATATATGATAATATCATTCAATCCCATATATGTTAGTCTCAACGAAAACCCCGATTTGATATATGGTAATATCATTAAATGTCATATATGTTAGCCTCGACAAAAACCCCGATTTGATATATGGTATATGGTGGCTTCGATGATACCATTGGTAGGGGGGTAGCGATAGGATCTCAAGGAACAAAAATCTGTCAAATTTTCAACAGGTTTTTTTTTTTTTTAAGATTGCAATTCAACAAATGAAACCTAATTGATCGCTGCATGGTAGCAGCAAACT